TTTAAGGGGGTCTGAATACTTTCCGTACCCACTGTATGCATACTGTTTACATGATGCATTTGTTGTGTAAGTACATGTATGCCACCTTACTCACAGTCTGAGTAAATAAACATACATGGCTTCTGTTCCACCTTATTGATAACACTCTATAGTATTCAGATCAATTTTAATTAATTAAAATATGACCAAAAAAAACAACAGAGATACAATTAAAAAGGTAAGTATAAAAATTGCTCTTACAAATGTTAAAAAAGCTAATTATTGACAAATATTGCTGCTTAAAAATGAAAATTCTGTCATCCTTTATTCACCGTCAGGTTGTTCCAAACTTGTACGAGTTTCTGTTTTTGGCGGAACACAAAATAAGATATTTTGAAGAATGATGGTAACTAAACAGTCAACGGTAGCCACTGATTTTCATAATATATATATATCTTTTTTTTTTACTGTGGAAGTCAATGGCTACCGTCAGCCCTTTGGTTACACAAGCTCTTCAAATTATCTTCTTTTGTGTTTAACAGAAGAAAGAAACTTCTAAAGATTTTTCATAGTATGGAAAAAAACATTATGGAAGACGATGGCTACCGTCAACTGTTCGGTTGCCAACATTTCTTTTAAAATATCTTCTTTTGTGTTCAACAGAAGAAAGAAACTTATACAAGTTTGAAAGTTTTTCATTTGTGTGTGGACTGTTTCTTTAATGCAGTTTTTGCCCTCTCGTTCTCACTCCACTGACCTTGTTGAGGGGATTTGGCCAGTCGCACTTCAGCCGCTGCGCTGACCGAGTACGTCCCAGTGTAGGCATTGCAGGTATACGTCCCCTCATCCACTGACTGGACATTATTTAGTATTAGTGTCCCGTCTGCTGACACATGCACATGATGTCCGTCCGGTCGCACTGGCACACCATTCCTGTCCAGAGAGACAGGCAAAGCCAGATCAGATGATCCATGAATGCTTCCTTCGTACTCAATACAAACTATAAGCTATAAAACGTGTTCTCTGAACTGACCGTGACCAGCCAACGTTCACATTTTCTCCGGTCACTACACAGGGCAGTTGAGCAGTGCTGCCCTGCGGCACATCGACATCCGTGGGGGCTTTAGTGATCCTGAGGTCGCCTGGAGAAACGGGAGAATATTACAAGCATACTGCAGAGACCGAACACTCAGAGGATGTTGTATTTGATTCAAATACTGGAAAAAGAGACACACCAACAACCCTGAGCTGGATTTGGCGTTGTTCAGACTTTTGGGCGTCCGTGACGGTGCAGGTATAAAGCCCTGAATCATCTGACGTCAGCTGGTTAATCACCAATGTGCCATCAGAGTGTTGAGAATGCCTGCATTAGGAGACATTTAACATCTCAACAGATGGCATAGAAAAGCAAATGATGACAAAAAAGGCAATTCCAGAATGCACCGCAATGAAAACAAGAGATGGCAGACGAGGCAAGAAAAATGCACAAATGTATTTCATTCAGTAGCACATATGATCAGGGTTATTATCGTTAACTAAAATTAACACCATAACATAAAGCATTTTCATTACTTGTATTAGAGTCATATTAAAATTATTAACAAAAACTATATCAATATCAGTGAGACTGTAACATATAAGTTTGCATATTCTGTGTATTTTTAAGGCTAATTTATAAAAGAACATCAAAAATCAACTGTGAATTGAGGCAAGACACACCAGGTGAATAGAGTAAAAAATTAAATAACTAATAGATGTCACCATACTTACCCAGCTCATTGATTACATTAAGAATTGCAAAAACAAATGATGTATAAAAAGTTTACGGAATTGTTGTTTTAAATATGCAAATGATGTTTTATGTAATTAAATATGCACTCATTTGCATACATTTATAGAACAGAAATTTAAACATTGAATGAAGCCAGGTTTAAATGTCTTTTTGAATTTTGTTGACATATTAGAGTTAAAGGTTTTAACAGAGGGGATTTGGGATTTCTATTTTTATCACGCCATAAATCAGAAAATACTGTCAACAGACAGAATTTTAAAAAATGCATTTTCGCCATGTTTTTAGGAGTAAATGTTCTATGAATCAGTGTGAATGACATATGAGCAAACCCCTCTGTAAAACCCTTCAGAATCTAGATAGGAATACAACTGTGAAGTTTGGTGTTTGTACGTGCTGCTGAAGTGGAGGTTTCTGGCTCAGTGCAGGAGCAAAAAACTAAACGCTCATTTTGGGAAAACAGCCTTTAAAAATATGTACTGTAATTGAAATCTACAGACAAACAGATAAAACACTTAAAAGTGTATTCTGGATGTTTTCTTTCCACTAGTCTGGAGAAATTTCTTTTTTTTAAAAATGCTTAATGGAAAGCCAAAAAGCCTGAAATCTCATAATTGGCAGATGCATGAAAAAACAAACAAACAGTATTTTTAGTGTCTTGCTTGAGTCTCCTTTG